GCCAATAAAACAAGAATAAAATTATAACAATGTGTACATTGAATAAAATAAACTGCGTTATTCGGCCATTCCAAATAAATTATATCGTATCTAAATTTTTTATTAGGATACTAGTTATTGCAGATATAGTTATTCCCTGATAAATATTGTTTTTATGATTTTAATTTTTATTGGCTATATTATATTTGTTTTAATTATTAATTTTCAACACAAAAAGATATACATGTTAATTTTTATAATCCACATTCTTTAGTTACTGTGTTCTATTCATTACATGCCAATTTTCCAAGAAACGTAAATGTCCAATTTTAACACGTTTCAGTACATTATTACGCAAAAATCTTTCTATAAAAATAATAATGCTATATTAATATTATATTTTGCAAATTAAATATTTCCTTAGCGTTTGGAAAAGTTATTAATAAAATTATTAATAAAATACGTTTTATATAATATAGATTATATAATATAGATCATATTTATTTTATCAATATAGATTATATTTATAAAAGATAATTTGATTTTTATGATCTTATTACGATCGCTTATCAGAATTATTCTTCTTTTTGATAAATAGTCCCAACCAAATATGGTTACTTTTCTATACAGCGCTTTCACAGAATTCGTCATGATGCTGTCTATTCAACTGAATCTGTCAAAAAATGATAAATATATAAAAAGAGTATTTAGATAATTAATTTTGTAAAATATTTTAATTGATACATTTCATTAGATTATTAATTATTATTCTTTTCAGAGCCATTGCAAGTAAGAGTGTAAATTGTACGCACAAAGGTACTTTAATAAGGAAGGACCAAATTAAATTTTAAATATTCATTCTGTATTCCTTATAATCAATTGCGTGTGATCGCTTCTGACAGATTTAACTTCTTTCAAAACGTGTATTATATATCAATTTAGAAAAACTGCAAAAATCATATACAAAATCGGAAAGTTGTTTAATTCTTGGCGCTACTAAAATCTTTCAGTACGTATAGTGCTACATCAAGTAATTTTAACAACACTTCTCTTAGTCGCATTAAATTGATTAGAAAATTTTTCTATCATCGTGTATCTTTTTCCATATAATACAAAATGTGAGAAGTGAAAAATTTTTTTAATTTCAATGAAAAAGAATTTACATTTATGGGTTAGACAAAAAGTTACATAATTAATCTTTACGTGATATAAACTTGGGTAATGTAAACAAAGCGAATAATTACCAACATTATTGTTTTAATTTCTTTTCCTAATTTCTTCTCCTCCGTTTGGATGGTGGTGTCGAAATCGAAGGATTCTTTGTCGCAGTGTTTCGTATTTTACTTTGTTTTGTCACTCTTATTCTTACAATCTCATTATCCCTCAAAGTGCTCGGTCCAGGACTGTATTTACATATTCATAAAAAAAAAAGAAATTATTATGTTTTATTATAAACAACAGAAAATGTTATGGAAGTATTTAGTATTTTAATTAGAAGTATGCATTTCACTCAGTTATCAAAATTGTCATTTTTAAGATTTTATATATATATATATCAATCCTTTAACATTTGTAATGTACATATAAATTGGTAATTTGTACAGTTATGTTCTAAAAAAATTTGTAAAATTAGAAAAAGTACTTCATAAGCTTATTAATTCATAAATAAT